ACCAAGACACCATCCTGGGTTGGGCTCGTTGGCTGCACGTGGCTTTGGAAAGCATACTTCTCTAAAGGATTCCGTTGACGCTTTCATCGGTATGGTCGAGAGCGAGAGTGAGGGCGAAGCTTTTCGTCAGACACCGTTCAAAAGGCGTTAATGTTACTTCGTGGTATGCACCGTACGTTTGCTGAGTTTATCTGCACTCACTGCATATCGCCTGTCGTACCGCTTAATGTATATTGCCTAAGTTGCTTCATGCACTCATATATGCCACTGTGCTAGCCGCACGTTACATGATAGCTCTGCAGAAGCTGATAGGCGTACCCTGTGTTTTTGAAACTGTGTGACTAATGTCCTTGTGTCTGAATGCGCTGATCATCGAGTTGCTTCCAGCGGATGTTATGCGAAGTTTGGGTGTGCGTTCGGTGATCGCGGTCGACGTCGGCGCCTTGGACGAAACAAAACTGTCGTATTACGGCGAATCGCTGTCCGGCTGGTGGGTGTTGTGGAAAAAGTGGAACCCTTGGGTGACACCTATCAGGGTAGGACAAGAACGAGGGCTTCTTTTATTTTACCGCCTTCGGTAATTATGTGTTTTTCAGGTTTTGAATATGGCGGAAATTCAGTCACGACTCGCTTACGTCAGCTGCGTGCGGCAGTTGGAACAAGTTAAAAAGGCAGCTTACTGTCATTACGTGCGACCGCCGATCGATCGCTTCCAGACCCTGGACTTCAGTCTTTTCGACGAAATCTACGTAAGTGGTCAGGTTGATTTACCCGTTGATCTCCCTAATGAATTGTACAATTTTATCAAATTCGCCCCCTCCATTTGTTATCTTCATTTTAATAAAGATCGCTATCCGTGTGGAGCAAATCATTTACTTGTTGCGTTCCAGGTCAGAAGGAAAATAGTGAAGTATAATTCCTTTTGAGCAGCAGTCATGACCGAATTTGTTGCTGGCAGCCGTTGACTGGTGTTTGTAAGATTATCAGCATGCTCGCAATTCCTATGCGTCATTGGCATATTCTTGATATCCTTCTACCACGAAAAGATATGATGCCATTGCTAGCACAGTACCCTACTATCATGAATATAGGTCCTCGGCAAATTCATACAGGCACTAGACTGTCGATGTTATGCTGACTTCAGCAACATCTCAGTTGTCTTGATTCGGCTCAGCACATGACTTCTTAATTCCCGTTTCGCGGCTTATTTTATTGCCACTTCGCTGATATACACCTGGCTTGGCGTTAAAAGTAAATATTGCGACCGGCTCCAGGAACATTATTCGTGAGGAGTGGAATATTAACCGATGGAATAATACGAAAATCATTTGCGCGCAGCATGTCATCAAATTACCCATGCATCAAACCACAGTCTTTTTACAGGATTTCTCGAGGTGTTTAGAGTAGGAAAGAGATTGTCTACGCCGTTAAATTCATTTTCAAAGATATGCATTTATTGACATATTCTTGCACACGAACTCCAGGTTTTAAAGTCTTGCAGTGTTGGTTGACCATGTAAAAAGGATCTGTTTGCAGACCATGTATCAGGTAAGATCACATGATCGAGGTTAGTCTGATATATAAGTCAGCGTGAAGAAATTTTATCTCCTCCTAAGCGAAACACCGCAAGTATGTTCTCAGACCAGAAATTGTTACACGAAATGATATTGTCGCCGTTGACTTGGTCCTATGATGAATCTTGTCTTCGTTGACGCAGTAACATATGTATTACGGCAAGATGCCCACTGGCTGGAACTACAGCGATTGACAAGACAGATTGTTTGAATAATGACGTACGTCAGAATGCGACGAATCTTGCAACGGTTGTTTCTCTTTTCATATTCTATACGTTTTCTGACTGTGAACAAAACCAGCGATCACAAAAATAATATTTTGCTCTGATGTGAGACGTCCTGAATGGCATCGCCGGAAGTTTCGTTTATCATCATCCTCATTTTCGTATTAGTTATCACTATTACTGGTGTCATCGTCGTGAGCACCATCACGATCACCGTGATCCTCACCGCAGTCAAATTGTAATTATGACTACTATCATATTCATTATCGTTAACACCAACAACGCTGGTAATCACCATATTCTGTATAGTTACCAGCTACCGTCAACCTTGACATGATTACGATGATACGGTTGGTCATATTTCGCCATTACAGTGGTATTACCAATATCATCATTTTCATCACGAGTGGGCTATAATTTCATTATCGTCGTAACTGTCATCACCTCATTCAACGTCATCCTAATCACTCTGGTTTTCTTCACCATCGCTGTCGTCATTTTCGTGGTCATCGTCTCGTTCTTGTTATCACTATCATGTTTATCATGATTGTCAGCGTCATCATCGTCGTTGTCCGTCATAATAACAGTCGTCAACTTGGTGATTATCACCGTCATGACTGCTGCCATCTTCCTCTGCATCATCATTTTGATTACGATCTTCGTTATCAAACTTGTGATTATCGTACGACGGCCGTGACTTTTATCAGCATTGACATCAGCAATTTAATGACGATCGTCATAGTAGTCATAATCGACGGTTATGGTCGTCAAATATGCCATATTCATGAACACGTCGCCAACGTAATCCTTTCAAGATCATCACAATCACTGTTATCATCGCCACCGTTATCGTCATGACAGGCGGCATCGTCAGTTATATTGTTTCGTTGCGGCCATCGTCGTTGTTATCATCGTCGTCATGAACATCACCACTATAGCAACATTATAGCAACAGTATCGCCGTCACCACTAGCATCACAGTCGTCATCAGAGTCGTCATGATCTTCAGCGTTTTCTTCACATTATTTGCCAGGATCATTGTCGTCATAATGAATGTCGTGTATCAAAATGGTAATCATAATCTTTATCCCATGTTCATTACCATCGTTGGAATTTGCCGTAACCATGGTCATGATTACGAAAAATGGACAGAAGTTACGTGTAGCAAGTACATCCTGACAAGGCCACTTCGTTTATGCGATTAACTAGGATTTATGCTCCAGGATATTCACCACTGGCATGCTGCACTGTTTAGTGTTATACTCTTGTATACAAGCGTTTTTTGGTATGACCTGTTATTTTAAACATTTTGGGGCTATTTCCGTTTGAGGCTTTTTTGCTTAAAAGGGTAATGTGGAGAGTTTGAGGTATTTAGTATGAGTCATCGCGATCTTGCAGCACGTTCTTGTCGACGTACAATGCATTCGCGTAAGACTGGCATGTTAACCTGTGCCTTTTTGACACAGCGTTCCCAAAGACATCACACGGAAATTCTTCAGCAAATACTCAGTGTCCTACACCTAGGGCTTTGCACAGGAGTTATGTAGGCAGTTCAACGATTAGTGACTAAATTATCTCATCAGTTCCTCTGATGGTCTCGTGTTGTATAAGAATTGACAGATTTTGAATGGAACTGATCCAGGACTCAAATTTCATTCGCTTATTGATTTTGGACATCTGCGTTTTACTCAACTTATAACTTTATATCGTGACTAAAGCTATATGTGAAAATATGCTATAAAGCTATAAAATCATGTTTTGATTTAGCATGTGTCTGTTTTATTTGGCATATGATTTAGGCTGTTGGTTATGAGCACGGTAAATCCGTCTTCGATGTTTGGATCAAAGGCAATGAAATAGACATCATTTTCGGCAAAACCGCTCCATGTACCACCAGTGTACAAATTTCGAGGAAGAAGTCGGTAAGTTTGCGATTGCTTATCTCTCAACTGAGTTCCTAAGTTTTCAAGTTGTACGAACTGTCAGAATTCCGCCTTTGCCGGCCCCAAGCCCGGTTGAGAAAGAAAAAGGGTTGAAGACCGTGGCAAGACTCCGTAAAATTTAGCCATCTGCCACTCATGATATTGACGCCATCGAAAATCATACCGACTCGGCCGTCGCCCGGGTTA